ATTATATACATTTACCCCCTCCCCCCCTCCATGTACATTTGAAAGCTAAACATTTTTTTTAAATTCCAACACGCGATTTGCATAAATTTGCATGTGTATCGCCGTAGTTGGAACGCTTTAAAGTATAGACGTTACATCGGGAAAAGTACTGTCTGGCTGGAGAAACATATTTTCTCCGGTCACCGGGCCCCTTTCCCGAGTTTCAATTTCAACTATTCGAAATTTTGCATTTTCGAATAAATTCGCACGGCTGCTTGTGAATTTCGAGGATATCCGTGCAAATGCATGCTAATTATGTGTGAGGTGCCGTCACAGAATAAATAAAATCGAAATTTTCGAACGAGCTGCTGAAATGTACGCGTTAATTTAGCGCGATTCGGATACTCCCGGAGGTATAATTTATACTATGCCAACAGTAGTCGATAATTTGGACGAACTAAGCAGTCGGGCTCTGGATTCAATTTTTAATCCGTATCGAATATCGTTGGACAGTAGCTATTCATGACGGTGTACCCATCACTATAATTCATAACGATTTTTCGAAAACGTCGTCGAATACCGTTATTACGGTACTGATCTGATATTTTATGACAATATTATATTTTTACGATCCGTCACGACCCATTAAAAGCATTAAGTCTCTCTTGTCCCCTGTGAAACGTCGCTCTCACCACGGGGAAACCGGAAAATCCTCGTGGGACACCCTGTTTATATTTTGTATAATATACGGACACGGGCGGCCGAACCATCCCGCGCAGAGGAGTCCGACGCGACGGGGACTGCTGCCTCGTGTACGTATAATATAATAACAATAATGATAATAATATTATCATTACGATACGGGGTGTGTTTTTATTTGATTTATTCCGATCCGGGCATCCAGCAGTAAGTTATACGCGACGATTTCGGGTAAAATCGATTCATCGGAATTGTTTATAACGATCGGTTAAATGACGCGCGCGGTGCATACCCATAACCGCATAATGCGAAGGGCCCGGTGCAACGACGAGGCAAGTATAAAATGACTTTTCGATAGTTTCGAGTAATGTAATAAACGGACCATAATTTAACGCAATACGTTTAAATGCGAGTCCGTCTGTTAGATACGTAGGAAACAATGACGATGGACTCGTCCGATCAACAGCGGGGCACAAAAAGACGAGTGCCGTGGACAGTCGGTTTTATTTTTCTCCGAAAAAAAAAAAAAAAATGTGGAACTATCTTGTTGTTGCGCCGAACACTTCGTAGACCGTTTGATTTAGAAAACCGTGAGAAAACAATTATTCCTAAACGCGTCACTGATATGCGCACAACACTATACCGTTCGGATGCACCGTTTACGAGTGATAATATACAGTTTGAACTTGTGCTAAGCAATACGATGACCGATCCGGAATCCGGATTTTCGGATTCGATCCGTAGATCCTGATTATAGATCCAATCCAACCGCGCCGGTTTCGAGATAATCGGGTATTTTTTCCATCGGATCTATATGGTGTGTACTCATTCTACGCAATACGAATATACGATCTCGGATCTATCGACAGTATGATACGATACCCCGAAAAAAGTGCCGGGGTTTTCGGGTTTTCGACAACAATTTCTCAATTTATTATAGTCCGGCGAAACTCAAGTAGTAACTTAAAGTGAACCACACATTTCGTTGCAATTGAAGAATTTAAGAATAAGATTTAGATTAGAAAAACGAATTATAAACGAAATAACAATCGTTTTTAAACAGTTTTTGGTCCGGATCAATAGCACGGTCCGGATTGAACGCGACGATCCGGATCGATCAGGGTTCGGCGCTCAGCGCTGTTTTAAACCGCTCGGATCGGCCGAGTAGGGCCAGTAGGGCAGCGTTACCGTCTAAAAAAAAAAAAAAAAAAAAAAACGTTCACGGATCGTTTTACGTTTCACCGAAAACTCGGTGTGCGTTGTATAATGTCGCGTGATATTCGGCGGGGCCAAAGCCACCCGCGATACCGTCGGAGGGCGGCCGTTCGGTTTTGAAGTTTTCTCCGTAACAATTCGCCGGGTTCGTGATTGACGGGGGTATTAAATATTACGTACACACATACACACACACACACACATATATGTATATGTGTATGTGTGTATACTATACGATCGCGACACGCGCAACTGCACGTTAAAAGTTCGCAACACTATTTTAGACGCGTTGCGGTTTTCAACCGAAACTCCGAACGGAACAACGTCACCGCGGCTCGAGGGTACGGCGGTTTGCGTTTAATTTGTCCGCCGACGATAATTGACATTGTCGGTGTGTCGACACGTCGCGGTGCGGTCTGGAACGCGCACAACAGTCGAGAAAACGATTTTCGGTTTTGATGTTTTCCACCCGCCCCCGCCCCACCCCCCGACTACCGAGTAGGTCCGTATCGTTCCGTTCCGTACACGCTCGCTTTATGAATCCCGCGGAGGACATAATATCGAATTACGGAAATGCGCCGCGACAATACCGTAGTGTATTATTTTCGGGACGAGTATAAATCTGCCGGGAAAACGATTCGACGGCACCCGTCCGCCGACGGGTGGCGGGGATGGTCGGGGGGTGGTACCGTATTAATAATTTCGCGGACGGTGAGATGCGGATTGAATAAAAAAAAAAAACCGTGTTGCGGAAGCGAATTTCCGGGGCGCCGAGACCGAGGCGGAGGGGTCGTGTAACGAGAAGTAGAAACGTTAAAAGCCGAAGTGGAGCGTGGACGGCGGCTGGTTTCGAATTCGGCGGCATAACGATAATACGGTCTTAAAAACCCAAGTCGAGCAGCGGAAAAACAAAAGGAGAAACCGATCCGAAAACGGTCGAGATTTCACGAAAACGAAACGAGAAAAAACAAAAAAAAAAACGAGAACATTTTTTCCGTCGAGAAAACAAAATACTCGAAAACATCGAACCGAACGGTATGTATTTTAGTTGTCAGTTCATCGTGTCCCGTGCCGTGTACACAATATACAACGGACGGTACACCGTGCAATAGTTCGGTATAAATTCAATACGAAAACAAAAAAAATCAAAATTTTTCGACGAGTTTACGACGTACGCCCCGAAAAAATATAACAATAATAATTTATTGTTACGCGCGAGCGGAGGATCGTCTCGATTCGCCGCGACGTGCGTCATCGCGAGCGACTCGAATCCCGGAACAATTAATCTTCTGTACTTTATTTATATTCACGCGATCCGCCGGTTGTTGTTTATTTATTTTTATTTTTATTATACGAAGCCTATCGTATTGTGATAAAAACCTGGAATGTTATGTGGCGAACGGTTGCGAGATCGGTTGCGGGTGGGTGGGTTGGGGGGGGAGTTCTAGGGCTAAGCTCCCGGTTCCGGCCAATTGAGTCCGAGGCCCGGGGCCCCCGGCCGACCCGTTCGGACCCACCGCCGCCGACGGGGAACCGTCGGAGTCCCGTCGACAGTCTAATGGTCTCACGTCGGATCCGACGGTTTCGCCGCCGTTACCGCGACGGCGACCAGGACCACGGTCGTAAACGATTGTATCGCGCGGTACCACGGACGGTAGGGCCCGCGGGTCTCGACGTGTAACTCGTAAACACGACCCCTCGGAAATGTCATTTCGTGCCGTACACCGTTTAGCGTCGGCAATATTTTCGATGTGTTTTCGTCCCGCGTTTTCCGACTCGGATCGCCGCGGACACGCGCCTAAGGCTAAACGCGCGCGGAGGCCGTTTCAATTCCGTTCACGCATACGTAATGGGCGTCCCCGAAAATTCAAGCGTGGGGGCATATCGGAATAGTTTCAAATAATCTGATTTCGTGTCGTGACATTTTTCAAACATTTTTCGCGTTTTGTCGTCGCGGAACCGACATCTCGCGTGATTTTCCCGACGACCCAATCCAAAAGACGCGACGCGTTTCGACAATAATATTATGCGATAGTACGTTTTAACGTTTATATTTTCCTCCGATTGTTCGTTGATTTTTTTTTTCCGTTATTTCGTTATTCGTTATTTACTTTGTCGGAGATCAGCGATATTCATCCGGCAACGGCGTTGTGATATGTAACGCTTAGATCACTTAACTCGATAGGCTGTTGAAAAAAAAAAACAAAAAAAAAAAACCGCGTTCACGGCTATACTCGTACTTAATCCGTTCCCTGCCCGCAATAAGACCGTAGCACACGGTTCAGTACTGTTTGATTTTCAAAACGTTAATCCAAATACTACGCAGCTATTGCAGTTTTCCGTTCGGTTTACGTGTACCAATGTAAAAACATAATTTTAGCCGTTTTTAATTAATTCCGGAGCCGTGGCGAAACAATGATTGCGCGTGTGTGTAGGTATTGCAATAATATTCGAGGGGCCTATTCTCGTATCGATTGAAATCAATACGGATAAATCGAAAACGTACCGATTTCTCGATCGATTTCTGTATTTTATATAGAAAACGCTTTTAAATCGGTTTCGGTGCGGACGCTCCTCGTGGCGTGTTGTAAAAAAAAAAAAAAAAAAACGTTCGCCCGCTGTAGTGTTTGTGTTACGACACGCGGGAATCCAGATATTTTTTAAACGTTTCGGTTTTCGGCACTTTTCGGCTGGACAAGAGGAAAATACTATTGAATATTGTACCGGACAAGATTGTCGCTTCGGTGCGATAATAATTCAACGCTACGATTATATCGACAGCCGCGCGCGAAAACGGTCGAATAAAATATAATACAAGTATACATGATAATTAGGGAACAGATCTATGTATATATATATGCTTAAAATACGTAAAAAAAGCTCTTAAACCTTTGGAAAAAAAACACTTAAAAAAATATTAAAAAAAACCAAAGTGTTAAAAGGGTTTTAAAGTCCCCCCACTCTAACGGTTCTGAACCCTATTGAATAATATTGTCTATTGCCGACAAATTATTAACACCAAGCTTTTTTTTTTACGAGGGTTGTCCCAAAAGTAATGCACAATTTGCTCTGAATAAATAAGTTTTTATTTTAAACTAAATACAATATTATAGACCTTCGATATAATCTCCCTGCTTGTCTATACACGATTGCCATCGTTTCGGGAGCGCTTGAATGCCGCATAGGACGCCATCTTTGTTGAGTTCACGGATCCTTCGGCTCACTTCTCCATCTAGTATATCTAAGTTGGGAAAACGGATCCCTCTAAGTGGTTCCTTCAGTTTTGGAAATAAATCAAAGTCCGGGGGACATAAATCCGGCGAATACGGTGGGTGTTTGAGGCGTTCCCATCCATATTTCTCCAAAAGAGCGACGACTGGTGCTCCAATATGCGGCCGCGCATTATCGTGCAATATGGACACACCATTTTGTAACATTCCTGGTCGCTTTTTACGGATTTCTGGTCGCAATTTTTTGGCAAGGAATGTTTTGTAGTAATCCCCGGTTACANCTATTGCAATTATACGATCAAGAAACGTTTCTTTTTCATTTTCGTAGCGAGAAAGGAGTTCACGGCAGATGTCTTTGCGTGTATCCTTCTGTTCCGGTGACAGAAAATGAGGCACCCAACGTGCTGCAATCTTTCGTTTCTGTAGAATTTCCGTTAAAATGCGGTGAACACTTGATTTTGAAATACCTGTTTCATTCTCTATCTCTCTCACCGCTATTCGTCGGTCTTCATCGAGTAGAGTTGCGAGAATAGCCGCGTTAGTGTTGTCTTGAGTAACCGTAGAGGGTCGGCCAGAGCGAGGGTTGTTATCAATACTTATACGACCATCACGGAATCGCTGATGCCATCTTTGCACCGTACTACGATCCACAGTATCCGTTCCACACACTTCATTTAACGCGGCATGAATTTCAGGCACTGTTTTACCACGAATCGTTTCGATTTTAATGTATGCGCGTTGCTCAAAAACAGAAATGTGAGCCGACGAATTGTTCTCACTTTCGTTATCGCTCTCACACATCATCATACTTTACTAAAACAACTAAAACTGAAAACGCACGTGTTCGTTAGACTTCAAGCTACACACTGATACTAAAATCAGCTGATAATATCACATTGCAAGACAGTTAGAGCGCGCTGTGCATTACTTTTGGGACAACCCTCGTATTTAAAACATTCACAAATATATTTGAAGATGATAATTTTGTAGCAATCGTTTATTTAGTATTAAAAAATTATTTTTAACAATAATTGTTAGAAGCGATAGAACATTTTTAACCCCTCTACTTCTAATGCTTTTTTTAAATTGATTTTTTCAGGGTTATTTTTTTTGTGAATTTCAAGTACATAATGTTTAAAATCGAAAAAAAACTATGTTACGTTTGCGTTAAAAAAGTCCCGGACGAGTTATGCAATCGAATCGCGATTTTAAACAGTGTTTCGCGACCGCGCGGCACTTTTTGACAAAGGGATCCCGTTAAATGTATAAAATGTAATATTGACGTCAGTGAACAAAAAAAAAAAAAAAATGAAAATCTGTTGCGTAAACTTTGCAACCGTGTCACGTGCGGGACCGTTGCATATTATTTGTAATAGTTTTTCGAATAAAGTATATGATACTTGTGTGTGTATATATATATATATATATATACGTGCTGTCCACTCGGAAACTTTAAAAAACGACCTTTCAAATATTTCGTCCGCATATCTACGTTGGATGTTTCCACTTCGGCGCGGCAGCGACCACGAAGCCATTTACCGGTTTTTTTTTTTTTGGTTTTTACAAAGTGTTTCGATATGTGTGTGTATGTTTGAGAGAGAGAGAGAGAGAAAGAGAGAAAATGTAAAACTACTATATTATACATACCCACTCTTATTCGGAATAATATTATCGAAAATGCGGTTTTTTTTTTTTTTCAGAACACCCGTCATCATCCGAACAAAACCGAAAACGCCGATTGATTCGGACTTGCGGATTGCCAACGCACGTGCGCGCGACCTCTCGCCGTCTCTAAGTACGACTATTGTGTAAACAAATATACGAATATACTTGTATTTATACGTTTTTTTTTTTTTTTTAATGCAAATATAAAACAAGACACGTGTCCGACAGGTCACTCGCGTTCGTCCGGAGGGCCAGCGACCGTTTTATTTGATCAATGATTACATAATAATATATTATACAGACCGTTCAACTATGTATGTCTAGACGCTGCGGCACTAATATTATTTACGTATGTATACACCGAATTAAAAAAAATAATGCCAGTACGTCGATCTCGTCTCAGCGATGGAAATATTAAACAAATCACGTATAAAACTCTGAAGTTTATAGTTGTTTAGTGTCTAAACAATCAAAAGTCCCGACGTACCGAACACTCGGGTGAACAAATAAAAAGAGACGGCGAATATGTTTGAAACTGCGCGTGTTCCGAAAAAAAGAAAAATTTAATTTATGTACAGATAATTCGATACATACAATTTGAAGTTCTCTAGGACAACTGCATAATAAGAAACGGAGTCGCAAGCCAATCGTTTAAAATCGTCTTTAATTTTTTTTTTTTTTTCTTAGTCCTCGAAAACCATGTACTGTCGAATTTTTGAATAAATCTCAAATCGCGTGGTGCAAACTGTACAGTTAACGGGGGTTTTCGATAGTGGGTAATCGTGATTTATTTACGGGGGAGGGGGGAAAGTCACCTCGACACATTTTATTTCTAATCAAAAGTAATTTATACTGATATGTATAAAACATCGATTGATTGCATGAAAGACGGACGTGTTTCGCACGAATTCGGGTAATTCGATTGCAGTTGCAGCTTTCGGTTATATTCGACGATAAACAATTGCAATCGAGAGATGATTTCTATCGGAGCCCGGTGATATGGCGAGGTATAGTATCTATTGGCCGTGTTTCCTCCCCGCGCGCAGTCAAATCAACTACGAACTCGCATCGCCATTTGCTGTCAGTTTTTCGATTTTTGAAAATCTATTCGGGAATCTAAAAAAAATGTTTAAAACAAAGCACCGTCGGCCGAAAAATTCGCTTATTTTACGTCGTACCTATTGACACGGACACGTGGACAATTCGGAGTATTTTTACCGACGAGAAAAAAACAATTATACTAATAAATATAAAAGTCGTAATTTTTTCGCTAAACTAATCAGAATCTAAAACAAAAACCGAAACACTCCTTTGTATTTTTCGGAAAACGATAAAATACTCCCGTATTTTCGATCCGGGAAAATCGTATTGTGTTACGTGTAGGTCGTACAAACGAAAAACCCCAAATATCCGTTTCCGGATCGGCCGCGGCACTTGAATACCTTTTCACTAGTCGACTCCTCACACGTGTGTAACACGGTTTTTCGGACGATAATTGGTCTTCAAAAAAAAAAAAACACCATACGGATTACACCAAAACGCGTCTGTCGATTATTGTACGCGACGGACACCGTCTCTCCACACACCGACGTTTATTATAATTATTATTATTATTATTTTTTTTTTTTTTACGACGCTTAAAAGCGTTTGAGTGGAAAAAAATACATGCCGTATACAATATCGTATAATAATAATGACTTCTCTTTTCCGTTCCGGTCGGAATCTAAAAACGTTTTTTGTGTTTGTAAATTCGACAAGCTCGTAAAAGAGTATATATAATGTAGGTTAGGTACTTACCCACCTACACAACTTCCCGTATATTAAAGATTTCTCGGAAAATAATTACGCACCATGAAAGTCGATAACCTCCGGGCAAAGCTGTATAATAGTGTTTTATTATTTATTTGTTGGTTTTTTTTTTCTCTTTTAAAGCGTCCGTTTTTACAGTCGCGGTACGGCTGAAAACGAAAATTAAAACGTTTACGATATCGGTTGCGAGCGCGTACGAATTACACGAACGCAAGAAATGTCGAAAAAAAAAAACTCCCGTGATTTTCATTCCGAATTATAGATTCGGAACGCGGGATAGGAAATACGCGGATCGGACCGCGGTCATAAGTGACGGCGGAAGGCGGGAATGCTGCGCGCGTACGCAGTGGTAACGGTGGAAACGGGAAATAGATTGTTAGGAAAAAAACAAAAAAAAATTACACTTCGAGGCGAGACAAAGTTTACGTTACGCGAGCTCTCGTTATATAAGAAAAAAAAAATATCTGGTCGCTATTTAATTTGCGGCGGCGGCGGCGACGATGACGACTGTCGAAAACGGTTTCGGGCCGCACGTGTGCCAATTAGCGGACAACGGAAATAAAAAGTAATCCGTAGAAAAAAAAATGAAAACCGCCCATCCATAAATTTTTATAACGCGCACACTGTCACTATCATCGCGGTACACGCCGCATAACGCACCCGCGGCCGAATCGCGGACCAGACTGCGTAAATCCGTTGTCGTGGGGGAGAGGGGAGGGGAAGGGGGAGAGGACAAACCGAACTGACGTATCGGTCGTATAAGCGCGCGTAACGTATACGGGGCGTCGTACCGCGGAGATCGGCGCGATCACGGCGAGCGTTACTTTGACTTTGCGCGGGATTTTAGTTTTTTTTTTTTTTTTTTCCGGAAAATTTAAGAGAAACAATAAAACCGTCCCGGAAATGTCGCGCCGACTGTTATTTTCTGTCGCCCTTGTTTTTCGCGGGCGAACCGAGCTCAACGGTCGAACGTCCCGTCCGCGGGAACCGTAAATTCCATCGCCGACACGCGGTGCTTATTGTGTTTTATTAATAGCCGTCTACGGCTTCGGGAAATTCCCGGTACGAACGCGTTTCGCTTGCGGGCTACTCGGCCGTTTTCGGACTGCCGAAAAATGTCAACGGTTTCACCGCGGCAGGGCGACGGTCCCCGGTGTCTCCGCGGGGCGCCCCGTACAACGGATAACAGTGCGCGTTCGGGTCCCGGACGAATAACTTCGTACAGTCGCCGCGCGCGCCCGGACGGGCGACCGTAAGCGTATTCCCCGAAAACCGAGTGTGCGGCACGCGCGCGCGCCCGGACACGTGCGCGGCATCGCTCCCCGTGTCCCGTCCACCGTACGTCACCGCGTCTCTACGCCCGCGGGACGGTCTCGATACGCGCGCGAGCCGAAACCCCGGTGATTGTGGGGCGGGCGATGCCGGAGGACTCGCGTATTCCGGGTACCGTATACGCGGTTTCCGTCGCACTGCGGGGCGGCCGCACTCCGCGCGGGAAGTTAAAAACGAAAAAATGAAAAAACATCTCTCCGCGTTTCGGCAAACACGCGAGCGCGGTACCGCCGCCCACAGTACGATCCCGAACTCATGCTCGAGAATCGCGAACGACGATCGCCGATCGCGTGCGCATCCACACACGCCGCTTCGTAAGAAGCAGTACACCGACAAACCGCTCGCGCGGGATATTCCGCTTCGTCCCCTCCCCCTTCCCATCGCTTCCCGGACCGAATTCGATTTTTTATCGTCACCGTCATTATTATTATTATTATTATTATCGCTATTTTTTTTTTTCCAAACCCGCCGAGACTTTGTTCGGAAATATTTTTACTCTCGATCGTCGACGCCCGCGCCGCTTATTCCCCGCGCCCGCGGACATTCAGAGCCGCCGCCGGCATAAAGTAAACCGTGTCTGTCGTCTCCGGCGATAAAATCTTCGTGACGACGACGACGACGTCTCTGCGGCGCACAAAACTTTACGCGCGCAAACAATAAAGTTAAATCTATAATAATATCCGGAAAAAAAAAAAAAACGACGCGTTTAACCGATAAAAACATCCATGCCTATTAGTTATTGCTAATCATAATATACGTGTCGGTTTCGAGAGATTTTTTTTTTGCTTTTCTACGGTGTATTTTATTGATTTTATCGTCGACGTGACAATACGAAACACAAACGAAACTAATGAGAAGTTTCGCCGCGGTGGTAAAGACAACAAATTTATAATATAATAATAAAACGGCCGTCACCGACAAAATGTTTGTTTCGTTTGCGGTGGCGTGCGCAGGGGAAGAGGTTAGGGGTCGCATCCCCCTCCCCGCCGGCTTAAAAAAAC